GTAACCAGTAAGTACCACACTTGAAAAAATAATTTTTTGCTCGACGTATTGGCACTACTGATGTCCGACACGGCAAAACTTAAGATTAAGTTGTGTTTTGCAGTGTCGATCTGTGTTTCTCTGTGTCATAGATGGAAAGCACCACACTAGACACTGTGTCACACAGTGCCGCCTGTGTCTCTTGTTGGAAAGCACACGGTGTCTGCTAACGCTCGCGTTATTGCGCACGCGTGGAATTCGTCTTTCCATCTGGGAGCGCTAGTCTGACGTATCCTGGACGGCGGATACAGCGAGACCTATACGTCAAAAGGTACGAGCGGTCGTGTATTTTGAAGGGGTTTCCACTTTAACCTCTCTCTCTCTCGACTGAGCTGGATTTGGCCGTACGAAATTCAATATGCTGGCCCTCATCAATCGGATCTTGGACTGGTTCAAGTCCCTCTTCTGGAAGGAAGAGATGGAACTCACTCTCGTTGGTCTTCAGTACAGTGGAAAGACTACCTTCGTGAATGTCATAGCGGTACGTGAGTCATGGATCTCTATCTCTCTATTTATCACGCCGCGAGTCGTCCTCGCGAAACGTAAATGTCGACATCGACAATTCTTGAGACGCAAGGTCCGCGAAAGGACTCTGCCTGTACGTGTGTCGCAATATGCCTTGGTTAGATTCAATAATCCCTTCGAAGTAACTCCGTCGCTATTAACGTACGTACATCGTACATACATCCGTATACGCCCTTATGTCAAATGATTTAACATACGATTGTCGATATATAATCGCAACTGACTATGATATATCATTAAATTGTGTTGCCACAATTGTTTTTACGTCTCTTTTCTCCTACTTTCTCTTTATTTCTCTTTTTTTTGCAAGTCGGATTATTATTATTATATCGCGGATTTATAGTAAAACTTGATTATTTCTGCATTGCATTTACAACTTGAATGTTTCCAATAAATAAATTGACAAATTTGAAAGATAAATTTATTTATGCCAAATTTGAATATGCTTATTCATAGTACATTTGCAGTTGTAATCCTTGTTATCAGATTTACTAATGATAATTGTACCTGTCATTGTTCTTGGAACATGGGCAACTAACAAAGATAATTCTCTTTTCTATATTCAGTCTGGGCAATTTAGCGAAGATATGATACCGACTGTAGGCTTCAACATGCGTAAAATAACCAAGGGCAATGTTACTATAAAAGTATGGGACATTGGTGGTCAACCGAGGTTTAGATCCATGTGGGAGAGATATTGTCGAGGAGTAAACGCCATCGTTTACATGGTGGATGCAGCCGATTCAGAGAAGATCGAGGCGAGCCGCAATGAATTACACAATTTGTTGGATAAGCCACAATTGTCTGGGATACCAGTATTGGTTCTGGGTAATAAAAGGGATCTACCTCATGCATTGGATGAGAATGGACTTATAGAACGAATGTAAGTTGCGCGTTTAGCTGCGTGTAATATTTTACAGCGATATGCAGATACAGATATACAATATGGCAATATTTGTTCCAGGAATTTATCTGCGATTCAGGACCGTGAAATTTGTTGCTACAGTATTTCGTGTAAAGAAAAAGACAATATCGATATTACGTTACAATGGCTCATAGCGCATTCAAAAAGTGGAGTTCGTTAATACTCTTAAAATATCCCACTTGTTAGTATCGGCGAGTCTTTGATACTGATAACAGTATTGGGATCAATTGTGAAATGAGCGCATTGAGCAAACTTTGTTCAAAACTGAGTCATTATTGTAGAAAAACTACTTGAGCTTTAGCTGATCTAAGTTGGATGGTGCGAATATATGCCATGATAAAATTTAAAAATCATGCTTGTATGCCAAGAATATGCTCGTGTGAATTATACCGTAAGGCACTCATTTCTCACGAGCACCTTAATAATAAGGAACAATTTTTTATAATTTCGTTTTAGGTAAGTCCAAGAATATATTCCAATACTTAATAACAAATATAATTAGTATCTCTGTATTTTCTATGATTGCCGCTATTGTGTAAAGCTGAAATAATACCGACATAATCGCAGTTAATTATTGTGATATTATAGTCTAGATGTCGATATTCTGATTTTGTCTTGTACCCTCGAAAGATACCAAACGTTTCATGTATAAATTAGAAAAAATTGTAGCTATTACGAAAAACACACACGCGCAAAGATATCACTATTAATTAAAATATACTATACTATGTATATATATAGACATATATATATACATATACATACACACACCTCGAAAAACTTTAATAACAAATAAAAACGATGTATTGCAAACATCATCTTTGTTTCTTCTTACTTCAAGAATGTGATAATCCTGAGTCGGATGCTATTCTCTTATGTTTATGTAAAATTATATATATATATATATATATATATATATATATATATATATAAAGATGTATGCGATAAGACATAAATATTTATCAAATATTTCGCGAAGGTAATAGAGAAAAGAAGGTTAATGACGTGATGACAGTAATGGAAACGACACAAAAACAATTCGAGAACAATTCATTGCGAGAAGTATAAATTCTATTATAAATGTCTAAAAGAATTAAATTGCACAATAGAATAGATAGATTTTATTTACTCTGCAGCGATACCAGGAAGTTTAAACGCTCGCACATTTTCTTCGTTATTTATTCTATAAATTGGTTTCTTTTCATTCATTTCTATCTATATATAAAGTTTATATATAATACGCTTAAATTTCCCTTAATCCACCTTTCTGTGGTTATCGGTTCAAATTGCTTCTAACAAAATGTTTCTAAATAACTCTGTCCGATTGGCTGCACTTGGTGACATAATTATAAAATTGTCACAGAGATGACATAATTTTAGCTGCTCAGTGTATTGTGTGTTACGTTGAAACACTTCGATATTTGTATCGAATTCAAAGTACACATTTTTTAGAGATCGTTACAATACAATTTTTTAAAATAGTGTACTGTATAGGGAGGGGAAGAGCTTTCCTAAGTTCAATTTGCTGAAATAAAGTTTCAGCTAAATTGAATTACGCTTATATGACAATATGGTATTTCATTTTCTAACGGTGTTCGTTACAGCCAATTTTTGTTATATATTTATTTACTGTACATGACTCACTCTCCTTTAAAAGTGGTCACAATAATATGTATTAAATTGCCCGCGAAAGATTAGTTACATATTACAGCAGAAAAAAAGATCATGTCCTCGAGATCTCGTCAACGATTTGCGGATACATGTACATGATAAAGATAGAAACGATTATTGTGTCTCTTATTTTATAATGCGTATGTTACAATACAGAATCATGGATGGAATGATACGTTTCCATCTTTCGGGGACAGAAAATATGCTCATACATACAGACAGTTACATTTACGGTTAAGGTCCAAAAGTCAAGTATCATATAGAAATACAGGATACAGAATACTGGATAATTTTATACGAAACGCGTTGTTGTAAAGATAATACAGACAATATTGAGAAAATAAAATAAAATAAATGTGAAAATATAGTAGAATAATATTCTTTATAGAATTTGAAGACAATACTCTTGTCTGTTAAATTCGATTAAGAATATCGTACTATTATAATTTTTCTATAACTTTTCACAAACAGAATATTCTGCACGAAACTGGAAAATATTTTAATGATAGACTTTTTTGATGTAAGATTGAAATTAATGTTTCTGTACTGAAGATCGTTGAGAAGGAATATTTTTAAAGTGATCAAAATTCTAAGAATTGTATTTAAGATATATGACTATAATATGAACAGACAACTGATGTACTGAATAGTTTTAATCTTCAATTGATTTTAAATAAACTTTAGCAGGATTTGATACTTAATTATAACGATATTTAATACTGAAAATTGTTATAATTAAGAGCATCTTATATAATTTTCGCAAAAAAAAACCGGTTTTAAAACATCTAACTTTCAAATACTTCCCAGTGTTGTTTACATCCTGCATTATTACGGTCTGTCTTTACATTGATTAT